GCTGGAACTGATGCTGGCTATTCCTTCCTCTGCTTTTCACGATGTATCACTATATTGCGATGTTTAGCTGGTGATACATCACGATGTTGAGAAGCCGATATCGTCCATCCCTACTCATAACACTAGAACTTGCAGACATCCATTGAAGCTAAATGTTGGAAGATTGAAGATGGCTAAAAGAAAGTACAGTCATACCTGGGGTTACAGATGCTTCAGGTTGCACATTTTCAGGTTACGGACACACCAAAACCCTGAAGTACCGGAACAGGTTACTTTGGGTTTCGGTGCTCGCGCATGTGCAGAAGTGCCGAATCTCAACCCGCGCGTGTGTTGCGGATGCTGTGGGTTGCGAACGTGCCTCCCGCACGGATCGCATTCGCGACCCGAGCGTCCACAGTTCAGTGGTACCTCTACTTACGTTCACCTCTGGTTACGTACCCTTCAGGATATGTATGCAGCAAACCTGGAAGTATTTTTCCAGGTTTCGCCATGCGCGCATGCACAGAAGCGGCACCTCCGGATACGCACACCTTGGGATCCGAGCGGAGCTCCAGAATGGATCCCGTGCACAACCGGAGGTACCACTGCACTTCTGTACGCAGTGCATAGTTAACCTGTGAAACTCCCTTGCACAGGAGGTAGTGATGGCCTCCAACTTGGATAGCTTTAAAAGAGGATTTGACAAATTCATGGAGAAGAGGGCTATTGATGGGCTCACTAGCTGTGATGGCTGTGCTCTGCCTCCACAGCTGGAAGCAGCAATACTTCTGAATACCAGTTTCTAGAAAGGACAGGAGGGGAGAGGACTCTTGTGCTCAGATCCCGCTTGCGGATTTCCCATGATGGGCATCTGTTTGGCCCCTGTGAGAAGAGGATACTGATCCAGCAGGCTGCCCATCCAGACTGCTGACCTGTTTATAAAAACACACCAGGCCTTTCGTATTTGTTTTCCAGGGTTAGGCTACAGGCTTCTTTGCCTTTTTGTGCAGGATGGTGCTATTCACTCACAATACTTGAACGCTGCAGGAAAATAAACTTCCTGATGTGCGATTTGCAAAAGCGAGGGAAGGTTTAGCCTGTGATAGAGCTGGCGAGCCAGAGGTTTAGAGGTCTTAACCTCCGACCTGTGCGAGGTCATGACTGCTAATCTCCATGGACTAGGAAATGGCTCCTGTGTTCCAGACACATTTTTTATCAGTAGGCAAAAGAAACCTCTCTCTTCAGCCATTGCCTTTGGGGGGGGAGCTGCCTGATGCTCTGGGGGGCTCCCAGGGAGTCTTCATTGTGGGATTGGGGTTCCCCACACATGCGGGGTGTTTTGTTGCAGTGTCTACTCGGCATCATTGTCCTAAATAGACACACACTCCAGCTATTTAATCCTGATTGCCCTTCTTGTCCCTTGTACAATCCAATAAGTTAAAAAGACACCTCGCCAATTACCCATTTGGAATTGTTGAACAGCCATTTGGGATATCAAGCTCCTGTCTAGTAGCAGCCCGGGGCTATTATGGCCGCAATACACACCATCCATTGAAAGCACATGACCTTCCCCAAAGACTCCTGGGAACTGCAGTTTCCCTCTCTCAAAGCCATCTCCTCAGCCTCCCCCCCCCAAAAGTAAGAACCATTTTGAGGTGCATTTTTCAGACTGGCATGGCAAAGAGCTGAGCACCACCTCATGTCCTGCCTTTGGGGTTACGTGGCTTGCACATGTGGTTTGCTAAGGGTCTCCTAGCAACTCCCAGCACCCTGTACAAACTATGTTTCTCAGGACTCTTGGCAGGGGTGAAAAAGTATGGTCGTTAAAGTGGTAAAGGTAAAGGGACCCCTGACCATTAGGTCCAGTTGCGGACGACTCTGGGGTTGTGGCGCTCATCTCACTTTACTGGCCAAGGGAGCCGGTGTACAGCTTCCGGGTCATGTGGCCAGCATGACTAAGCCGCTTCTGGCGAACCAGAGCAGCACACGGAAACGCCGTTTACCTTCCCGCCGGAGCGGTACCTATTTATCTACTTGCACTTTGATGTGCTTTCGAACTGCTAGGTTGGCAGGAGCAGGAACCGAGCAACAGGACCGTCAACCTTCTGATCGGCAAGCCCTAGGCTCTGTGGTTTAACCTACAGCACCACCTGCGTCCTAAAGTGGTATAAGAGTGCTTTAAATGCACAGTGCGGACGGGATGCTGGGGGAGCGCTAGGCGAGGAACTGGCTGCGTCAGCCCAGTGCTCAGTGAGCTGTTTATGAGCTCTGAGCCTTGGGAGTGATGGGAAAGAGCAAGTGATCATGAGCTCATTGGAGGAGCTGAGCGCCTTGCCAAGCATCCAAGCAAGCCTCCTGGTTCCCATTCCACATCACTGAGCAGCAGGTTAATCCCAGGCCATTCCTCTTGGCTGTAAATGATTAGCGATGGGGTGGGGGAGGTGGCCTCACCTGGTATCGCCTGAGATAATGGGCTAAGCAGAAATTCACTCTTGTGCTGGAGGGGGAGCCTTGTCAACCGATGGTCTTGGCTCTGTTTCCACTGCAAGAGAGGTTGGGGGTGATGGAAATACAAAAGCAAAACAGTCTCTCAAGCATGAAGTTTAGTTCGTTTCTCTGACAATGGGCTTAGTTTTAACAGCATCAGGCACCTTCTTAACCATCTTTCAGCTGGTTAAGGAATTTTATAAACAGCTTAAATAATCTCTTTGTTGGAAGACCCCAGTAAAATAATTATGAATAATATGCAGAGAAAATCATCATAATTTAAAAGCAAGCATACAAAACTAAATTGTGTGTCCCAACAGGCCTGATCCCACACATTCCTCCTCATCCAGCCTGACCCCCCAAACAGCCAAAAGCAAACTTTCACACCATATTAGCATTGGGGGCTGGGGGCTTCTCCAAGAGGATTAGCACAGCTGAAATAAAGAGTCTGCAGGAAGCCTCTTGGGTGTAAATTAAGCTATTTTTATAAAGAAAATAGTGGAAGATTAGGAGACAGATCATCATTCAGGCAACACATCCAGTTGTGACAAGTTGCCAAAGCCTGAGGTCATCCTAATTCACAAGAGTCTGAAAAGTGGCTCCCTATTCCTTAGTGTGCATGTGATCTTCCCCACCTTATAGTTGTGATATAAATGAAAAAAACTGCTCCTTTTCCCTTATGGAGTATCCAAGAGCCCATATAGAGTCCTTTCGTAGGTTCACTATCGGTAGGAGAAAATAACAGAGACCAACTAGAGAATATTGAGAAGCAAAGCAGCTAGTAAGCCTGATCTTTATTAACTGTTGCAAGAGGGTGCTCCCTCACACACAGGAGAGAGGAGGAGGATCCCAAGCCATGCGCGCAAGCCCTTATATAGACATTTTTAAATTGCCCGCCCTGGAGTCCAAGACCACCCCCCAGATACATCATATCTACATCACAGAATAGGCTGTCTACAACAGAAATCCGAGTGCGTTGTTTATCTCCTGTCTGGCAAGTTACCTGATTGCATTATCTGGGTTTTGGCCACTCTTTTGTTATTATAACTACTTAATTCCTGAATCTAGGTCACAGGTCACAGGCTCACACCCTGTTCATATCTTGAATGTGCCCTTGAGACAGGATTTGTGAGGACAGGATTTGTGAGGAAAAAGACAATGGGGGGGGTTTCCCACTTTGACCTTGCAGAGAAATATTTGAGGTCAATTTGTTCAGGACCTTTTTTGTGGATTTTCAGACATGTGGTTTATATATAAAATTATGAACATTTATTTTTTTAATGTATGACCTTAAAATTCTTATAACAGTTGGAAAGAGATGATATTGAAAAAGGTAGTATTTGCAGATGTCACTGCTGGTGACATAAATTTCTTCCAAAGTGAGTGGTGGTGATTTCTGTGGGCATGGAACACTGGAACAGGCTGACAGACGTTCACAAGGGCTACTTTCTGATGAGAAAAAACATGCAGAGATTGCTTGGTGTGTGTGTGTGTGTGTGTGTGTGTGTGTGTGTGTGTGTGAAGCAGCAGGTGGTGTGGATGGGAGGAGTGTCTCCAGGTTGCAAATGAGATGCACAAACCTTCCCTTCCTCTTCTAGTGAGGATCTAGGCCAGGGGTCAACAAACTTTTTAAGCAGGGGGCCGGTCCACTGTCCCTCAGACCTTGTGGGGGGGGCAGACTATATTTTGCAGGGGGGAATTGAACGAATTCCTATGCCCCACAAATAACCCAGAGATGCATTTTAAATGAAAGCACACATTCTACTCATGTAAAAACATGCTGATTCCCAGACCGTCCGCGGGCCGGATCGAGAAGGTGATTGGGCCGCATCCGGCCCCTGGGCCTTAGTTTGCCTACCCATGATCTAGGCAGCCACAGGAAAGATCTGGGGGGGAATCCCTGTTCTCACATCAATCGCTGCAATGTGGTTTTTAGCACTCCATTGTTTTTTCACCCAGGGGAACATTTATCCTGAATATGGACAGATCTGAGATGAGTGATGGTGGGATGCACTCCCTTCCAGCAGTGCAGCATCTGTTTCACATCAGGAGAGGCAGGATGGGATGGGGGGGCATTTGCATGAGTGCTTCAGGTGGTGGAAGGGGAGGGGACAGAAGATGGGCAGCAGAGTGTGGGAACTGTGTGTTCCCCCTCCCCAGTTGTAGGAGGAGAAAGGCAAACCCTTCTTCTCCCTTCCTGGCTCTGATGGGAGAAGACAATGTGAATCAAAGGAGAGAAAGTTTTTCTCCCTCTGTCACAACAAGCAGAACTCATGGGTATCCAATGAAGCTGAATGTAGAAAGATTCAGGACAGGTGAGTTCCAGCATCCTGTCAGAACCCTGGCGCCTCCTTCCCAAAGCCCAGGAAGCTTCTGCCTGGCTTGGGGGGGGGGAGACACGATTCTCATGTGTACAATGTTGCCCCCCACAATGGCCCTCACAGGCTGGTGCCTCTAGCTCCAACCGTTCCCTTGCAAAAATAATTAATCACACGCCACTGCTCAAATCTCGGTATGTTGTTTTCTTCCTGCAGGTTTTGCCTGCGAGCGCGACAGGCTCTCCTTCAGCTTCTGCCAGACGCTGCTCTTCCTGGGCAGGTGCCACCTCCCTACCGTCAGCCTCCAGTGCTGCCAGACGTGCCGTCAGCAGGGCCATGGCCCCCGGGACCGTGGGAACGAGCGGGCTTCCCGGAAGTGAGCACTCCCATCACCCCAGGACCCTTTCAGGCACAAAGAAGCCAGCGGTGGCCTCGGGGAGAAACGGCTGCCTAAGACGCCTCGCGGGCTGCTTTGAAGGCAGCTCAGCCACCGTCTCTGTCCAATTGCTCTCCTCTCCTTCCTCCCATGGGACCTTGGCTGGTGCTGTTCACCGAGATTGGACAGGCATGGTGCTTTAACTCCAGTTCCTCTCACCAAACTGCCCTCAGGGCTACCCAAGTCTGCTGCCCTCCAATGCGCAGCAGAGGAGAATCTGCTCTGCAAGGCCACGCGCTGTACCCTACAAAAGCAATAACTCTTGGCATGATCTCAGAAACATATCTGGTGCTATCGTCGGGTATATTCAGGTTTCACTCGGTGTTGGCGGGCCAGCACGAAACTCTTGACTTGAGTGATTTCTTTTTTAAAAAAACAAACAGGAAACACACGCAATTTTTTTTTTATTTTGTAAGAACGGGCATCCAAGTCGCTTGACTGTTTGGTTGCATTCGTTGTGATAGGGATGCCTTTCTGCCTGGTGGTTGGTGGGAGGAGCTCAAAGCGGCAGAGAAATGTCCCCCATTTCAAACTCGCTGAGCCAGCTGGTCATCACACTTGCTCTAGCTGGGAGGACCAAAGCATTGGGGTTAAGAGTTGTTTGGTTTTCACTCAAGGTTGAACTAAAGCTAACCTCTCTGGCTTGAGTCTTTGAATAATAGAACTGTAGAGTTGGAAGGGACCACGAGGGTCGTTTGGTCCAACCCCCTGCAATGCAGGAATCTGTGGGGCTCAAACCCACGAACCTGAGATTAAGAGTCTCATGATCTACCGACTGAACAATCCTCCATATCTAATGCCCTGTTCTCTGGCTCAGCAGTTCAATATCTGTCAGGGTGAGCTGCCCTTTCTCTCTAGACTGCTAACTTGGTTACCCTGAAAAAGCCCAAGACTATCAAGATCAGTTTCTGGTTCCCACCCCCACGCCAATTATGTAGCCCTGGAAGTTGGGACTGCATTTGTAGTATTGTATCAATATCCTTATTGTCAAGAAGGCACCTGATTTAAGAACACTTCATTGCTTTCTATCATGCACTGATAGTTTCATTTGTGGTATTTAGCATGTGTTAAGCAAGGAAAAGGAAGCCTGTGGCCTTCCAAGCATTGTTGGGACTACATCATCCCTGTGTCAGGACCCTGACCAATGGCCTTGCTGGCTGCTGTGAACTGGAGCTCAACATCTGGGGGGAGCCCAGAGGTAGGGATGTTGGGAAATTCCAGTGGATGAAGAAATGGGTGGTACTTCCTTCTTCCTTCCATGTGTGGAATGGTAATCAATCCAGCAAATATGATCAGGACTCCACTGTTGTTGTTTTCAGTTCACAGCAACAGTCATGTTATATATGGACATCGTAACCAAAACCCCATTCTTTCAGGGTGCAAAGGTGGCATAACACCAAAATCCTTCAGTAGTTAAGTTATACTTTGCCAATGTGTTTTTTCTAGAAGTCCAATAAGGCCTCATCATTCTACTTGTGTCAGGGATACACCCTCTCTGAAAGGATCATTGTAGACTTTCTATGAATATGGAATTAACATGTCATTATTATTTTTTAAATAAAAAATACATGGGAAATCATCTGGCCCTGAAGATTTATTGTTCCTTAACTTGGAATTTTCATATGGAGTGAATTTTTCTCATCCAAAATGGCCTTATGTTACAGGTTTGTTTTCATTCTAGCCAAGTAATTTGCAAATCCATTGAAGACTGATTTATATAATTTGGCATAATATTATGTGAACTTTTGATGAATGCACTTGAAGTATATGACTAGAGAACATTTTCGTTCTTCTTTGAAAGCTGATAATGTCAAGGTTTGATTGCCAGATCCACAGCATTTCTGATGTAGATCAATCAAAGATTTGGTTATTTAGTGTGAATAGTTATAAATTGCTCCCAAGGCATGGTGGGTAACATATACCTTGCAGTGTGAAAGCCAATAAGTACCAGCAGAACTAGCCGTGGATCAGTTGCACTATGTCAACACCAGACCAAGGCTGTCTTCTTGTCTCTGTCTAGGGGGAGTGACAAAACCAATTACCGTATTGAAGACCACATCCAAATTTCTTCTCTCCCATGCTAGCCATGGAATTTCCCCAGTGATTCAGCACAGATACATGGGAATAAGAAAAACAACCAACTCTTTTCCAAGGAGATGTTATGGAGGAGTGTCTTTTTAATTTTTTTTAAAATGTCTGTAGCTCTCAAGTGTGTTAAATTAAATTGTTATAACAAAGTATGAGCTGTGCCTTTGTTGGTTTGTTTCGGCACCACAACATTTCTGCTGCCTCCTTGAAGAGTCTCCATGGTTATCTTAGCATGGCTAAACAGGAAGGCAGGCACCACCATTGGCCTCGCTGCATCACCTGTCCTTGCTCCATCTCCCTTCTCAATTAAATCCAAACCTTAGAGCCCCCTGACCTTGCTAGTCCTGCCTGCTCACCTGTCCTTCTTTCAAGCTGGAGAGCAGAACCCTCAATCATCTTGGCTGCCCTCTTCTGCACACCATCCAGCTTGTCGGTATCCTTTTGAAGCTGTGATGCCCCAAACTGGACGCAGGACTCCAGGTGGAGTCTGTTAGCTGTTTCATTTATTACAGTTGCATTTTGACTACCAGAAGGGAGAGGTGCCTGTGGGATTTCCTGCCTCGGGCGCCGAAATATCTCAGCTGGCTTTCGGTCCTCTGCACTTTGGAGGTGGAGGCTTCCCATTTGATGCTCCACCTCCGGTCCTGCTGATATGGAGGGGCCCCCCTCTAGCTGTCAATCATCGTGGCAACACTCCAGCCAAGCTGAATGTAAAGCCTGAGGGAAGCTCTTAATGAAGCATGCTTGACTCCAGCTGTCAAAGTGGATAAAACTGATGGCTCTGCATGTGGAGGAGCAGGAGAGGGAAGGAAATTGTCAGACTCAGATTAGGGTTAGCAGATAAGTGTGAAGAATGGCCCTGATCTGCCTCCACCATTCCTCTAAGTCAAGCTGTCATGTCTCTTCCTCCCAGTCTCGTCAAATGCTAAAGGGTACTTAAGTTGCCTGGGGTGTTAGGGGAAAGAGTAGTATGTCTGGAAGGACAGATCCTGAAGCTGAGACTAAAATACTTTGGCCACCTCATGAGAAGAGAAGACTCCCTGGAAAAGCCCCTGATGTTGGGAAAGATCGAGGGCACAGGGAGAAGGGGATGACAGGACGATGGTTGGACAGTGTTCCCACAGCTACCAGCATGAGTTTGATCAAACTGCGGGAGGCAGTGGAAGACAGAAGTGCCTGGCGTGCTCTGGTCCATGGGGTCACGAAGAGTCGGACACGACTAAACAACAACAAAGTATGTCTGGTGGGGGACATGTGCTTCTGGGGTAGTTTGTCCACCTTTGGTCCCCACCCTGCACTCGGCTCTCACCTGTGGCTTCTAGAAACTGTCAGCATGCAACAGTGGCCACACTCCAGAAAATTGCTTCAACTGGCCAACTAAACCAGGAGAGGGTCAAACCCTTGGTGCGTTAGGGACTTCCTCTACATGTGAAGTCAGGCTCTGGATGATTGTGTGGATAAGACCAGTAGTGGGTCCAATGGTCAAGAAGGAGGTTTCTGCACGTGATGTAGGGGGAAATGAGGGGCAGATGGGGCTTGTCAACCCGGAAACAGCCCATTTTGGAGAAGGAAAACTCTTGATTCTAAACCTCCACTGCCTTGAGGGATTTCTTCACGAGAAGAAAAAGCTAAGGTGTAAACCCTACACAAATCCAGAGTGGGGTCCTTAAGGTGTCTTGTACACTTTCTTCTGGCAAACTCCTGTAGCTAGGCTGGTGCCAAACGTATTGCTCTGTTTTCCTTTGGACCACATCAGTGAGGCCAAGAGATAAGTCTGGTTGTCCGGGCAGCCCAGGACCTCCATACACAATGCCCAGGCTTGCGCCCCGGAGAGGCGTACTCCATTGTCTCTCAAGACAAACTGATGCCAACAACAAAATGTAAGTTGTCTACCTGAGACAGGCCAGATTGTTTAATCAGCCAAATGTTTGTTTCATATATCTGTGAAATTTAAAGCTAAGACAAGTCTCTGAAATTGACAAGAGTCTCAAGAAAATGACAAAAGTGCCCCTTCCATTCTTTGAGCTCCTCTCCACTTCAGCAGGGTTCATGCCAGAGAATAACCTCCTTCCCAGTAGATTTCATGCCTTTTCTACTCGGCACGTGGCTGGAAAAAGTAGCGCCGTCTTTCATTCTCATGAGATTGTTCTCCAAAAGTCTGTTTCCTGTAAACACTGAGTCATATCTGGTTGCTATTGTGGATGGTGATACTTTTTTGCTTTTCTAGACCATCGTGTTAATATTGTACTAACTTTGCAGCACAAAGTCGGAGAGAATACAACAGCTGGGCTCCCATCCTGCACACTTGCAAATTTGCCAGTACAAGGGAAGGGAAGTGATGCTCTGCGCAGTCATTTGGCACCAGCTTGGCAGCAGGAGTCGCGGAAAGGAGGCGTACAAGGTGCCATCCAAGGGATGCCACTCCAGATTTGTATAGGGCAGGGGTCAGCAAACCTTTTCAGCAGCGGGCCGGTCCACTGTCCCTCAGACCTTGTGGGGGGCCGGACTATATTTTGGGGGGGAAATGAATGAATTCATATGCCCCACAAATAACCCAGAGATGCATTTTAAATAAAAGGACACATTCTACTAATGTAAAAACACGCTGATTCCCAGACTGTCCGCGGGTCGGATTTAGAAGGCGATTGGGCCGGATCTGGCCCCTGGGCCTTAGTTTGCCTACCCATGGTATAGGGTTTACTCCTTAGCCTTTTCTTCTCCAGAAGATGTCTCACAAGGCAGTGGAGGTTTAGGATCACAGTTTTCCTTGGCCTAGATGAGCTACCTTCCCAGGTTGATAAGCCCCACCTGCTCTTCACTTCCTTCTACAGCACATATGGAAACTGCCTTCTGGATGTTGTTGTTGTTTAGTCATTTAGTCGTGTCCGACTCTTCGTGACCCCATGGATTAGAGCACACCAGGCACTCTTGTCTTCCACTGCCTCCCGCAGTTTGGTCAGACTCATGTTGGTAGCTTCAAGAACACTGTCCAACCATCTCGTCCCCTGTCATCCCCTTCTCCTTGTGTCCTCCATCTTTCCCAACATCAGGGTCTTTCCCAGGGAGTCTTCTCTTCTCATGAGGTGGCCAAAGTATTGGAGCCTCAGCTTCAGGACCTGTCCTTCCAGTGAGCACTTCTTGATGTAATCAGTACCAAATTAGGTGGGAACCTGCCAACCATATGTTTGTTTTCTAATATGCATCCAATACCTCCACCCCATAGTGTTGTAGTCCATTGGCTTTGCAATGCCTTGTGAAACACACACTGAATGAGTAAATTATTCTGAAACTGCAATAAGCAAGGCCTTCTTAAACCAGATGTTAAGGGGAAAGTCTGGCTTATATCTCCACCCTTGGGTGATGCTCAGTCTGGCTGCAGCCAACAAATATATAACAGATTTACAGACTAATTCTGCATTGTCTGATATTGATACAGTGGATGGTATAGTTGATATTATAAAACACAGAAGAAAGTAGTTGTTCAGAAGTCTGGGAACAAATTGCATTTTCAGTACAGTGGTACCTCTGGTTACAAACTTAATTCGTTCCAGAGGTCCGTTCTTAACCTGAAACCGGTCTTAACCTGAGGTACCACTTTAGCTAATGGGGCCTCCTGCTGCCGCCGCGCCGCTGGCACACGATTTCTGTTCTCATCCTGAGGTAAAGTTCTTAACCCGAGGTATTTTTCCAGGTTAGCAGAGTCTGTAACTCAAAGTATTTATAACCCGAGGTGTTTGTAACCTGAGGTACCACTGTAACTGAAGTTTTAATATATTAAGTGGTTTGGTCTTCAAATACTCTTGCCCTTTTCCAAAACAAAAAATTAAAAAAATGTGCTGAACACTTTCACATTTAATTCTGTTACCAAGAAGATACCCCATCTCACATGTCGTTTACCAAAACAAACATTTGGTCTTGTTGCACATTAATGCTGCCTTCAGCTGGTTTCAATAAGGAAAAGACTCCAAAGCAGGGGGAGAGAGAGTGCTCACCATACTGTATTGGTTTTTTTTTAAGTCCTAAACAGCAAAGACAGAAAGACCATCCTAAAATAACAATGTAATCCAGATGATTTTCAAAAGGAGGAAATTACTTTCACAGCAAGAGGAACCATTATAATTATTATTATTATTATTTTCGAAACCTGCATTCTGGTAACAGGCAGCATCAGCCAGCTCTTACCCTTTGGGGCACGAGGCGTCTGCATGAAGGAAAAGCTTTCAAGCAGATTTTCCAGCGGGGGTGAACATCTGCGAAGCCTCAGCCAAGCAGAAAAATGAGGGCTGGAGCTCTCGCAACCCCCGCAAGAACCAGCCATGGAGGGAAGGATCCTGTGGGGAGTGGGGGCAATGAACACGCAGGCACACTGTGGCCCCTCTCAGCTTCGTGAGGTCCCTTCTTCACACATGGTGGCCAGAGGAATTTGAAGAAACGTGGAAACACTTTTCTTTCCAAAGGGAAGGATAAGCAGGGAAAGGTTTTCCCAGGAGTTCTTCGTACTATATATTTTTTTCCTCCCTCTCTCATAACACCAGGACTTGTGGACATCCACCGAAGCTGAATGTTGGAAGATTCAGGACAGATCAGAGAAAGAACTTCTCTGTGCAGCATATAAACTGTGGAACTCACTGCCACAGGAGACAGTGATGGCCTCCAACTTGGATGGCTTTAAAAGAGGATTACCCAGATTCAAGGAGGAGAGGGCTATTGATAGCTGCTAGCCTTGATAGAGGTTATACTCTGCCTCCACAGTTGGAGGCAGCAATGCTTCTGAATACAGTGGTACCTCGGGTTAAAGACACTTCAGGTTACAGACGCTTCAGGTTATGGACTCCGCTAACCCATAAATAGTACCTCGGTGTTATGTACTGAGTTGAATAGGATCCAAAAGGCAGCAGTCTGATTGGTCCTAGAACAATAGGATTCAGAATGCAGCAGTCTGATTGGTCCACAGGAGCCACCCAATCCAGCTCCAGGTGGAAGTGAATCCACAACCTGATTGGCCTACAGGTGAATACCGGAATTAGCCAATCACTTGGGGCCCATTGTGTAAATAATGTATATAAAAGCAGACATTCTGGGGGAACTTCCATTCCTCCTCACCACTATGAGCTGAATAAATAGCATGAAATCAACTCTCGACTCCAAGTATATTTCACTCGGGTTAAGAACTTTGCTTCAGGATGAGAACAGAAATCGTGCTCCGGCGGCACGGCAGCAGCGGGAGGCCTCATTAGCTAAAGTGGTACCTCAGATTAAGAACAGTTTCAGGTTAAGAACAGACCTCCAGAACCAATTATGGTAAGTTCTTAACCCGAGGTACCACTGTATCAGCTTCTGGAAACTACAGAGAGTGCTTCTGTGGTCTAATCCAGCTGGGTTTCCCATATGAATCTGGTTGGCCTCTGTGAGAATAGGATGTGGAAGTCGATGGGCCATTGGCCATATCTCTTCTTATATCAAAAAGCTTTTCACCGCCCTCTCTGTATGTTTCTCTTTCAAGTCCTATTTGATTGTTGTACATCGCTTGGACACCTTAGGTCAGCTTCCTCCAATCTGGTACCCTCCTGATGTTTTAGGCGATCACCCCTCAGTCCGCAGAGCAAAAGTCAACATGCTACAACATCTCATTTTCACAGCCTTCAGAGGACGGTCTGTTTCGTGCCTCCGAGGGTTGCTCATTACAAAGGAAGAGTCATAGTTCCAAATCCTTGGAAATCCCAACAGATGTTTGAATTGTCCCAAACATTTATGAGAGTGTAACTGAGTACCACCCCCTGCTTCTCATCCTTTCTGAGCAGCAGATCTGTTTCCCAAGCCCCAGAGAGAATCATGTGTCAACCACAGATGGGAACTTTGTCTGCGGTGTGCTCCATTCACCGAACACACATCCTCTACTATGAGAGAGGAAAGGAAACGCTCAGCTTTCCAAATAACACAGAGCCATGGGAAAAGATTCCAGGTGTAAATTAGTGGAGAGGGATTCTGTTTAACAACCTTTGTTTAGGTGGAGCAGAGATGGATGGGGAAGGAGGTAGCTAGGCAGCAGGCCGAAACCACAGATTCCATAACAGAAATACACTTGAGGCAAGTTTCTAGGATCAGGCTATTTTTTTAAGGACTGGAGGTGTGAAGAGATACAATTCTACAGGTTATCAACACACTGAAAATTAGTAATTCACAAGGTTTCATTGGCATCCAACCAAGAGTTCGTAAGACAAAACACACACTTCTGAAATTGGCAAGCTTCTAACAGGAATATGCAGCTCCCCCCCCCAAAAAAAAAATTGTCCTCCCATACTAAGGATTGGAAAGGAGCAAACACTGGTTTAAAAAATAAATAAAGAAGGATAATGGTAGTGAGATCCAGGAAATTGTCAGGTCATTTAGCTTAATGCCTACCCCAGTAAAATTGATTTTAAAAGTGTGATTAAACATTGAGGTCTCCAGCCTTTTTTTTGGGCGGGGCGGGGCGCATTTGAAAATTGAAGAAACTGTCATAGATATTGCAATAAATAAATCCCATTTATATGAAAATGATTCACAGATGATATCTAACTCTGAGTAGGTTGGCTAAGATGTATAAAGCAGAATCAGATATGTGTTGGAAATGTAAAAAAAAAATGGAGGGAATTTTTTTCGTATGTGGTGGACCTGTAAAACGGTAAAAGAATATTGGGGAATGATTTATAATGGGTTGAAAAAAATGTTTAAAATAACCTTCCCCAAAAGACCGGAATCCTTCTTATTGGGAGTAATTCAGACAGAAATCCCTAGGTGTCAGAAAGGTTTCTTTATGTATGCAACAACAGCGGCTCGAGTTCTGATAGCCCCAAAATGGAAAGTGAGTGAGGTCCCTGGTAAAGAGGACTGGCAACTTAAGATGTTAGAATATGCAGAACTTGCAGGCTAAACATACAGAATAAGAGATCAATAAGAACATATATTTAAAGAAGAGTGAAAAATATTTATTGACTTTATGGAAAATAACTGTACACAGCATTAAGATAAAATCAGCAGTGTAATCAATTTGTGATGATAAAGTGGAGAACTGACCTAAATAGTTATAGTAAAATATACGGGAATGAAAGATACGTATGTAAAATGAACCATGGAAGGAGAAGGAGGAAAGTCACTGATATTCAAAAGTATGTAAAATATTTATTTTGAAATGTAAAAATTGAAACAATATATATAAAATCACATAAGGAAAACTGGTAGTTCATCATCTCACCCCAATCTACAGGTAAAACACACCCTCTAATCAGCTATAACAGACAAAAAAGCATTCCCCCCCCCAAAGGAGACACCCTCCAACCAAAGACGGTCATATAATTGGATACAGCGGTACCTCGGGTTACATACGCTTCAGGTTACAGACTCCGCTAACCCAGAAATATTACCTCAGGTTAAGAACTTTGCTTCAGGATGAGAACAGAAATTGTGCTCCGGTGGCACGGCAGCAGCAGCAGCAGGAGGTCCCATTAGCTAAAGTGGTGCTTCAGGTTAAGAACAGTTTCAGGTTAAGAACAGACCTCCAGAACCAATTAAGTACTTAACCCAAGGTACCACTGTACTTGCATGATACTTTGGACCCAGCTCACATTCAGCTCATGAAGCTGCTAGGAGTCAATGGTGGCACAATAAATGTGTGTGGGATGGGTAGGTTGCTAATTATTGTTAATTGCACATGCAGTTAACTGAAACTTCAGTGGCAACTCCTTGCCTTCATGTTACTAGCAGGAGAACATTCCAAGTTACCTCTGGATTTTGGGGATGAGATGAAATGCAGCCCCCAGATACCCAAACAGGGATTGTTGCCATCTCTGACAATGCCCAGGGTGGTATAGGCCAGGGTTAGTGGGATAGACCTGGGTTCAAATCCCACCCCACCCCCCAGCCATGAAGCTCACTGGGTGACCATGGGCCAGTCACTGCCTCTCAGCTTAACCTACCCCACAGAGCTGTTGTGAAGATAAAATGGGGAGGTGGGGAGAACCAGGTGCACCTCCTTGCAAGAAAGGCAGGATATGAAAGTGTAAATGATAGCGGGAAAAGCCAAAGCAATTCACAGCTGAACTATTGTGCCCGAGTGAGGTCAGCTGTATCACTAACAAGGTGGAAGCTTGGGGTTTGGAAGTGGCCCCCCAGACCTTTGTATCTGGCCCTTGGGACCCTCCCCAGCCATGGCACTCACCAGCCCTGCTCTATGGCCTTCTGGAGTGCTTCTGTTTGGCTGGAAATTGTCCTTGAACTATGATCCAGCCTCTCGCCTGCCTGGATGGAGGAGACAGAAGAGTGGGTGGAAGAGAAACCTCTGGCTTCTTTCTGTGAGGCTGGAAAGCTGTCTGCTGTACAAAGGCAAGTGTCGCATCCATTGCCCAGTTTTGTGTCTGGCCCTGGCAGATGGTCAGCCACAAGCAAATGTGTGTCTGCGGCTGAGAAAGGCTCCCCAGCCCCCCTCTATAGACACACAGAGAAGCAGGAGGCTGGAATCACCCACAGGAAGTGTTAATTAGCACAGGAGTGTCATCTACTGGCTTTGTGAGGAACAGCACTAGAACAACAGCAAAGACAGTTTTTACAGTATGGGGATTTCTCCTTCCAACAGGTACTGGTCACAAAAATCTTGCCTTGGTACAGCAAGGCTTCTGTGGTTGAGACAGCTGCAGCGCCAACTTGGCTGAGAGATGGAGGGGGAAATCACAGTCTGAGTCTTCCCCTCCACCTGACTATAAGAGCCTAGGTAAAGGTAAAGGACCCCTGGACGGTTAAGTCCAGTCAAAGGCGACTATGGACTGCGGTGCTCATCTCGCTTTTAGGCCAAGGGAGCCGGTGTTTGTCCACAGACACCTTTCTGGGTCACGTGCCCAGCATGACTAAACCACTTCTGGCATAACAGGACACTGTCAAGAACAGAAGGCACGAAGCAGAATTCAGAGAGCATTACAGTACTACATTCCAGTAAAAAGATTGTCCTTCATTGCACCGCTATGAGTATCTTCCTTTCGTTCCAAGATGAAAAGCAGCTATTACTTACAGCTTAAAGTTGAAGGAAATATTTAACTCTTATTCCTTAGAACACCTCTAGGGAAATGAATGTTCTTTTTAACTGATTAAAATCCAACAAAATTGAATATTGAAAAAAGCTTTACTTCAGAAAATTTATACAAAACTTTCCAAAGGTTCTCAGTGTGCATCAGAATTCCTCATTAAGAGTTATCTTGATCCTTTCCCCATCATGCCTTTAATTAATGCCTCTTTTTCATGTTTCAAATGACATTTAATTTTTTAATTAATTCTTATTTTGCATGACTTCATGAGCCACTTTCACGTACACTTGTTGATGCTGCTGCAATAAATAAAAAAAACAAGTTTGTTATTGATATAGGAAGAAAAGCAATTTACCAGCCAAAAAATTTCACATTGCAAGGTGTTGTTAGAAAATTCTGTATGAACCACTTTCTTTTTGCAAGTTGGCTACAACCTGAACTTGATCAAACGGAATTAAACCGAACAGACTCATTGGCAATCCAGCCCTAGACAGTAAAGTACCACTGAAGCCTGCAGAACTTACTTCTGAGTTTATGTAAGTTCTACAGGCTACTGTGATACTTTACTGTCTAGTAAATATCTACAAGGTTGCAGCCACCACATTATTTTTACCTGTCTTCAGAAATGCCTACTTAAATATATCTTTTAAATCTACTTTGGTTTACACCATTAAAAAAACTTATAGGGAAGTTTTCATATTGAAGACAACTTGTGTTTCTAAAACTCTGTACTTTATTTATCTCTCACACTGACAGCTAATCAAACACATTCCATCATAACAATGTGTAAAATTCAATCTTCAAAAGCAGTTGGTTTTTGTTTTTGTTTAAATTACAATGTGTATTCATGAGGTGTCAACAGAATGGTTTCATAATAGTTTTTTTTAAAAAAAATTATGAAGTTCTCACAATCCTTCAAAATTAATCTAAGACTATACATGGCTCACTCTCCTTCGTAAATTAAATGGATTTTTTTAATAAAATAATTTATTAAAAATATACAGGAGGTACAAAGAACTGTCCAGTATCAAATTCAAGGCCTCCATTCCCCACCCAAAAAGACATGAACACCAAAGTGCCAGAAAGATCCCAGGTCAACAGGAGCTGCTGTCACGGTTGCTAGTCTGGATCCAGAACACACTGCTCCACAATCTCCCGCAAGTGAGGATTCTCCATTGCAGCAGCGACTCTCTCTTTGTCATTTATCTGCTTGTTAACTGTAGCACCACGAGAAACAAACAAGAAGTCTTTGGTTAATGACCAACAGAAATGCACTAGAATATCGCAGAACACACACACACACACAGACACACACACACACACACACACACACAATGTGTATGCGCATGCAGATGCAAGTCCTACAGAGACAAACACAGATTTGTCAAGGATCAGAGCTCAGTGAATGCCTCCCACAATCTGCTGTCCAATGCCTGCAACTTTTAGATCTCATCACCGTCTTACGGGGCTTTTAGGGAAGGGTAAGAACATTAGAAGTGGCCAACCAAATGCCTATTGTGGGAAAGCTGCAAGCAGGACCCGAGTACCTCTCTAATTCTTTTTTAAAGCCATCTAGTTTGGTGTCTCCTGTGGGAACGGTACATTGGATTGTTTTTTTTAATTGCTTCTGCTTGTAGGGAATTTATGTTGGCCAGTTTCAACAATATTGTTTTTAACTTTGTTTTTTAATTTTATGTACTTCCGCCCTAGAACCTTGGGCATATGATAAATAAACAGAGAAGTCATGCAATGCTAAGATTGCAAGAGATCTTGCAAACAAGTATGAAAGCAGAAGCTAATGTGTTCCAGCGTGGTTAGCTCATATGCATCACTTCCTATGGTGCTGGGTGCCAGGCCCTCCCAGCCTGACTGCCACACAAGAGGATTTAAGACATGCTCAACAGGAAAATTCAACACACACACACTTGGTGATGTATATCAAGAGGCTGCTTTATTCCTCAACGCAAGCTGAAGACATACTTACTGTCCTCCTCCGTGGAATGCGCTCCCTCTGAAATGTAGATTTCCAACTACATGAGAGAGAAAATGACTGCTTAAGATGTTTTTATAGCACAGGTATGCATCTGCACAGAATATACAACACTGTTTTGATGGCTTGCTATACAGTGGACCCTCTGGATACGAATGTAATTTGTTCCAGGGGTCCAACTGTACCCCGAAAAATCTGCAAGTAGAGGCGCCGCTTCTGCACATGCATGCAGTGTGATAGACCATTTCTGCTCATGCACAGAACACTTCTGCACGTGGTGAAACCCGGAAGAATACGTTTCCAGGTTTGCTGTGTTCGCAACCCGAAAGTTATGTCACCCGAAAGTAACGTAACCGGAGGATCCACTGTAATGGGCAAGTCTCACTTGTGTTTGCAATATGAAAGGTCTCTCTTTTTCTCTACAATGCAATCTCCACATCCACTCAGGGGCTTGTTATATGGTAAGGAAGCATGGCCTCTTACAATCTGGCAGTTCTCACATGCCTGCCAAAGCTGTGTACATGATAGAGTCTCCTGAGAATCTTATGGTACCTTAAAGACTGTGATTAGCTGTGATTCCTGTCCTGCAGGGGGTTGGACTAGATGACCCTTTGGGTACCTTACAACTCTAAAATTATATGATTCTTGTACAAATTTATTATGACTTAAACTTTGGTAGACTACAAACCACTTCACCAGATACATGAAGTGTACTTGATGAAGTAGACTGCAGTGAGTGAAAGCTTACGCAACAATAAATGTGTTAGTCACAGAAATCTGTGTTGTTCTTCCTGCAAGAGACTAGCATGGTTGCAATCCCTCTGGAAATCCTGCCAACAAAAGCACTCTGGGTTCTTCATTTCACGTCCTCTTCTAAGACCACATTTTGCATGAGCAACAGATAACACCACCCCTTGAAATTCCCCATACAAGCAAAGAATCAAAACATTTGGGGGAAGTTGGAAGTGGAATGTGTGGCCAGAAAATGCCCTCTAAACATGCATTTCTGGAGAGTCAGCTGCAGTATGTTTTTAGAAATACAAACAAAAGTGTACAAATTGCGTACCTTGTGTTTAAAAGGCAAACATCTCTGCAGCTTGATCCTCAAACACAGCCCTGCATTTTAAAGAAAAAAGATGTCATTTTTCTTTTCAAGCACTACCCTTCCATTATCTTTCTACCAAAAGAGTTGGTGGCATGTGGTCATATTGCTCAACCATCTGTAATTCAGTTTTATAAACATGTGAGGGACAGCTGGCCTTGGTTCTCAGTGTATCTTGCTCTAAAGATAGCAAGCGTTGCCTCATCTAAACTGTGAAAAAGGCTGGGAAAGGAAGTGAGCGGCATCCATTTTCGAGATCTGCTTTCAAGCACAGAACTGCTTTACAATTTGGTAATAAGCTGTGAAAGACTGAAGAGTTTCGCACCACACACTGCCAGGGCATGATTGGGATCAGGACACTAATGTGTTGAGCTTTACAGAGGAACACAGTCTTCAGTCTGCCTTGCAAAAATAAGGTTAAATTGGTTCCAAAGAAGCCTATCCCTAAAGGAAACATTTTTCAACATGAAAGGTCCTGCAACCCATTCATATTTAATAATTCACAATACTGCTGCTGCATGTTTCAATGCACAAATCCAGAAATGCTTCCAGAAGAACTGAGTGTCCCTTTATTTGCCTTTCCAATATCTTTGTTTACTTAATGTCATGAAACTAACAACTTCACAAATCGCTCAAAGAACCCCCTCCCCCCAGATCTTACCTATGAGAGTGGCCAAAGAGCAATGAGGTACCGTTGGTGTAAACCTGATTGTGACCAAATATTCATCTTCCCCAATTTCATGCACTTCAACGCAGCTTTCTGTTACCACGTCTAGTTCTTCTAAAGTGTTGGGCTTCTCTGGGTCCCGGATAGTTCGAATTATATCTAAGCAGAAACAAACAGATCAGAAGTGTCTAATTATGGGGGAAAGGTTGGGTGGTCAAACTCTAGGCCTGGAGTCAGCTGAAAATCCACTTGCTTGAGACATAAAAGGGAGTTTGATGACAGCCTTGCCAGGACTCTTCACAATCCGGTCCCTCTCAGCCTTTAGGAGGAACAAAGGTTGCAAGTGACATTTCAAACGAGAAATGATAAAAACGACATATGAAATGTGTTCTGAGGCTCATTGCTTCATGACCAGTGAGCCTGCAAGCAAATGGGTACTGTGGAGTGAATTTGGATTTATTTATTTTTGTCTCTTCTGGATTGGAAATAATCTTGCCACTGTGACTCATGCATTGTTATCCTCAAGAAAGGAACTATCGCAATAAACCTGGGCAAGGGATTACCTGAGTGGGGGGAGGTAAGAGGCATGGAGGCTGGAGATGTAAATATCAGACTTTGAAAAGCTGGTATCACTGGATCAAGTTCAACAGCTTTGTTGAATTAATTAAACTAAAACTATTTTTAAATTAATTAAACTAAATGATTTATTGTTAAATTAATTGAACTAAAATTGGATTTTGAATAAATGTGCAATTAATTGTTACAATTTGGAATTTGATTGTTATCTTCCTTCATGGGTCATGCAAACCACCATTATGAATCATGCTATTTACTGGGAAGGCTAAGGGCAGTGGGAATGAGTTTATGGAACTAAGAGTGCGGTGGCCCCCAAAAAGTTTAGGATCCACTGCAATAAACTCTATGTGGGGCTACCCTTAAGAGTGACCTGGAAGTTAAAGGCAACGCAAAATGTATTAGCTGGCATACTGTTGTCACGCATGTTACAGTGTGCTTAAAAGAGCCTCATGTTGCTGCCAATAAATTACTGGATCAGGGTTAAGTTTCAACTTATAGTACCCTAAACAGGTACCTGAAGGATTGCCTTCCTCCCTATCTCCCTGTCTCCCAGACAGGACTGTCTGGTGAGGCCCTCCTGGCTGTGCCCACAGATCCCATGGGCTGTAAGCAAGGGGGAAAAGGCCTTTTGGGTAGCAGCCCCCTCTCTGGAATTTCCTTCCTTCAGAGATATACAGGCAAGTGCCAACACCAGAATCAATTGGGCCTCTGCTAAAAACGCATTTATTTCCTCTGGCTAGGCTTTAGTGACATCGGGCTGTAGAAGTAAGTTCTCATAAAAAATAGAAATTAAAATCTGTACATTTTAAAGTGCGCACTCTGACACACTTGGCTGCTGGTTTACTTTGTGCTGCAGTCTCAATACATTTTTAGCACCTTGTCGTTTCAGACGAGAGGAGGTGCGTAAGTTTAAACTGTTCTCGGTTTATTGTTGATTTTATGTGTTGAATGATTTACAGAGCTGCTTTGGGGGTTTTTTTTGTTTTTAATTTTTATCTTACTGCTTTCTTCTCTTCGTACACCCCTTCAAGGTTTCGGTTTTCTTTTTAAACACCCCCTCCTCCAACTGCGAGGCAAGCCGGGTCCTGGGCCGCGAAAGACCTCCCGCCCCGTGAAGCCTGGATAGGGACGGGGCTGGGGAGCCACTGACCGTAGACCTCCAGGGCCCGCTCCTGCTCCATGGCAGCGGCGGCGGTTCTGCTCGGGGCCTCGGGCCGGTGGTGGGCCTGCTGGTCGTCCTCCTTCTCCCGGGCCTCATGCCCCCCGCTAGAGAGCGCCCGCCAGAGCAGCCCCAGCGACAGCATCCCGCCCCGAGCCAAGCCCGCTCGCAGCCTCCATCAACCGGCCCCCAGTCGGCCCTCGCGGGCACTTCCGGTCTCGGGGTGGGCGGGGCGCTCCACAGGCAAAGCGACGCTGTACTGTACCCACAAACGCGCCCTCTTCTCAACCAAGACTACATTTCCCGCCGCCCAACGCGCTCGCTCGCTCGGCTTTCCGCGCGGCGAGGACTACATTTCCCGACTCGCAACGCTCTCACTCGCCGCCCGTAGTGCGGCAGCTTATCCCCGCGAGGCATTCTGGGAAGGTTAGTCCGAAGGAAGAGCGTCGGCCTCCGCCCTCCCGGCTTTCGTTCTCTTGTTGTGGCTCTGCCCCAAGATGGCGGCGGCCGCGGTAGGTTTCTGAGGAGACCCACGAACCCGGCGGTCGCGGTTCTCTCAGGGGAAAGAGGAGAATGGCGGCGTCGGAGGCTGGGTCGCTTCGCGTTCTGCTGCAGCCGTTCCGCAGCCCCAGCCAGGGCATCACCCGGGCCAAGCTCAGCGGCGGCCGAGACGCGCTGGCGACCGTGACGGGGGCGGAGCTGCGCCTGACGGGGCTGGTGTCAGCCCGGCTCGACGGCGGGCAGGACGGGCCCAGCGGGGACGGCAGTATCGCCCTGCCCGGCGCCTGGGAAGAGTAAGTGGGGGTGGAGCAAGAGCCGGGCCTGCGGGGGCCCAAGTCCAGCGTCGACCCCCCGCCCCATAGAGAGAAGCAGGTGACGGGCTCGACCCCCGCCTCCCCCCCAGCGACTGCTCCCCCCACCCCCAATTTAAGAAGGTTTCGTAGTCGGGGACCAGGCACCCAACCCCCATGGTGATCTCAGAGGCTAACTTACTATTGCTTTTGAAGCACAGCAATCATCCTCTGCAGCAAAAGGGTATTTGTCCCCACGTAAATGTCGGGGCAGCAGAAGCAAACGCTGTTTGTTTGTTTTTGCATAAAATTTATGCACCTCTTGATTGGAAAAAAAAAAGGCATCAAAGCGGTTTACAAAAAAAGAAAGATAAAACAGTGGAATTATTAAGAAAAATTAACCACGATTTTAAGTTTTTCAAAAGTTAAAATAACAGTTTAGACTAAAACAGATTAAAGGCTTGCATCAAGTTTCTAAGCATCGGAGTAGGCTTGACCAGACAGTGTTTTTAGCAGGCACCCAAATGTTTATGTGTTATGAACAAAAATGAAAAATTAACTTACCAAAAGAGTACAGTGAATGTGCCTCCCACACTAACAGTTTGAGTTCTTACAAAGGTGTTATTATGTGACACCTGAAACAGTACCAATTCCGCTGATTGCTTCAGCGCATATGGGTTTGTTTCTGTATTCATGATGGTGCATTGATAAAAGATGCATGTGACCTCAGTATTATCGTTAGGTCTCACCAACCTTTTTTGGGGCCTTTAGCACCTTTGCAAATCAGAGGAATTGTCTTGGGTACTCCCCCCACCCTGCATTGCAACTAAGGACACACCACACAAACTATCCTGTTGCTTCTTTAAAACCTCATTTTAGGAGAGGGGGCTGGAGACACATCAGCAAAAGCCTCTGTTGGCAACTCTTGAATGTGGAAGTAGTTGTAAAGCATGGATTGCGGGTGAGGGAGAGAAGAGAAGTGCCAGTTTTGGCCTTCATGACGGCAATAATGCACATAGTTGTGTAAAGGGGGGGGGGCTGTCAGACCATTAAGTCCAAAATCATCTAGCCACACCACTGAGGATGGTTTATCCAGTCCCCCCCCCCCATTACTGCCCAGTTTCACTTGAATCAACCACTTCTCTGGCTCAGCGTCACATTTTGCAACAGCCCCACCTGCTGTGAGGCTTTGAGCCTGCATGTAAAATGAGCTGTCAGAATCTACAGTTCCCCAGTTCACCTTCTGGTCCCTTCCTACCTCTGTTGTTATGAAATTGAGTTGCTTGTCATTTTTCTTTGGATAGATAGGAAGTATTACTACTCTTGTTAGAGAAATAGACAAAATTGTAAACCCAAATAGATTATTACTGGTTTCACTCCCTAGAGTTTTTGTTTCATTGATTGTATGTTGGTTGCCCTTTTCAACTGCTGTTTTCTTCTAAGCTTTGTGATCATTTTTTGTGCAAGTGGACAGTAATGTAATTCAGTTAAGTACCGTAATTTGTCTCTGAAAGGCACAACATGCTTAAAATTTCAAAGAAGAACAATTGGAGGTATGGCTCATGTATTAAGTTTTGTTTTCCTAGCTTCACATGGGAGAGTGTGGAAGATGAGGACCTTCCAGTGGACAGTCTTAAACTACTTGCTGTCAGTAAGACCCATGAACTTCTTGCATATGAAATTCATCTAGAGGTTGGAAAATGTGATGCAACACTCTTGCAGAGCTGCAGTGAAGATACACAGAAGCAACTCATCAAACTTAAAAATATTAGTGAGTATAACATTCATTCAAGATGTAAGATACTAGTTTATTAATTTTGTTTATTGATTTGGAGGCCATTCTTCAGCAGTGTCTAGAAAACAAATATGTTATATGGTATCTATTGCAGACCTTAGCCCATGAGTTGTAACTTGCTGTAGACAGGTAATGCTTATAAACGTTGGTGGGGCTGTTTCAAACATTGAATACAGACGGCCTGACTTTTGCCACTTGTGGGATGGGTGATCCATTTATCTTCATCAGGACTATGTTGTATTGCTTGTTTATCTGCACCTATTGTTACTGCATATGAAAATATCCCTTTTGTCCTCGTCGTGCAGGTTTATCTTCAATCTCCTCTTTGAGAGTGCTGTCATTTAAAAATGGCAAAGCTTTGATGCTGCTCAACAACTGTATTATTGCACAACTTGCTTTTCTTGGAGGAGAACTGAAAGCAGAAAAGTTGGAGGAATGCTTTCTTCTTGATCTGTCGTCAGAAGCTCTGGAAAGGATAGTCGATGTTGCCTTTTGCAGAGGTGTTCTTTTCTTGTTAGAGGAATCTGGGTGGATATGTATCCTTTTAAATTGAGTTTTAACATCCCTTCCTCCAGGACAGAGTGGTTTGCAAAACAAATGTATAATTTAAGCAGTAAAAGAAAACACTAGCAGATAATTCTCTGTGTTGCTCACTAATTCTTAAGAAACAGACAAATACTGATATATATATAAATGGATATTTTTGTTGTTGTTTGTCTCTTAATAAATAAAGTGCTAGCCTTGAGTAATACAAAAGGTAAGATGCAGAAACAGCCCACGATCAAAGCAAGGTCAAAACCCATTAGGTCACAAGGCAAGTCAGGATGCTAATGCAAGGATTTTGTTCAAGCACTCTGCCAGCAACTGGAGACTTTTAACCAGGAAGCTTCAGAGCTCCACCCAGAGCACAGCTGGAGGCCATCTGGATTGCCTGAGGCAGTGATTTTCAACCAGTGTGCCGTGGCACCCTGGGATGCCTTGAATGATGGTCAGGAGTGCTGCGGCAATGCTTGCCTCAGTCCCTCTCCCCCCCCTCCTCTGATGCCCTCTCATGCTCTGCCTCCCAAAGCCTTGCACAGCTGCTGTAGCAGCCCTGGCTACAAGCTCCCCAGGCAAATGGTGCCTCTGGGGCTGGCCACGGGGACCTGGTTGACAGGAGCTGAGGCAGCCTTGGAGTCAGCAAGCAAGTGGGTGAGGGAGCCCAGCCAGCCAGTCTTCCAGGCGTTGCTGATGGGAATGGACAGACAAGTCCCAGGCCCCTGTGGGGCAGTGGGAGGAGGCACCTCTTTTTGGGGTGGGGGGGAGGGGAGCTGAGAGACCATGGGCAGCAGCTGCGGCTCGCCAGAGGACTCCCAAGGAGAGGGGAGAGGAGGCTGAGGGAACACTCCACAAGGGAGGGTGTTTGAAAAGGGGTGAGAGGCTACCAGCTTTGTCGGCAAGGGGTGACATAACTGGACTCCTGAGCCCTCACGGGTGCCGCAGAAAATGTAGTTGGTAAAGGGAGCCATGGACTCAAAAAGGTTGAAAACCTCTGGCCTGAGGAGTTTGGTCTTCTCATGAGGAGGAGCTTCTTCACAAGTAACACTTTATTTTCAAGGAGTTCTTGTTCTTTGGATGGGTGCACCTATACCTTTATCTGCCAGCATGTCGCCAGACTTGGTGCTAACTTTGCCTCTGCCTCTTGACTCTTTGCAGGGGCCCTCTCTGTCTTGCAGAGCAGATTGGGGTGCTGTGATATCTGAACGTCCAAGATCCCCCTGCTCTGTCTCACTGTGCATTAACACAGTCTGTTTCTCTTTCATGCTTGTTTTGTGAAGCACCAAATCTTTCTGTGAAGAGGATTGTTCTAGCCATGTGCCTGACAGTTGCAATATCTTAAGAGGTGTCCAAATGCATGCAGTTTGGAATGGTTCAGTCTACTATTTCGATTTGAAACAGTGCCCAGTGGTCTTGCACATTAGGTCTAAGTAAACATGCATAGGATTGCCATGTCGGGATGGTGGGTTTTCCTTTGCATGTGTGCCTGTTCATGTGACTCAGAAAGTGTCTTTCTTTGACATTGCTGCAAAGATATTTTTGATGCTACGGATGGTGCCTACCTTGCCCATGTTGATGTCTCCCTCTATCAAACAGAGGGGCAAGATGAGAAGCGTCTGGACATCCTGTCTTCTCTTACACTGTTAAATATATCCCATGATCTCAGTGTTGCTGTGGTTGCCAACAGCTCCAGTTGTGTTGTGGCGATTGACCTCCATTTATACTTCAAGTAGGTTGGCTACAATATGCTATAAAGTGGTATTGGGCAGGCAGATTTTTCACTTTTTAAATTCTTTGCCAGTTCTAGCTTCCCCCACCCCCTCTCTTCCGAAAAGTCTGATGGTCCTGCTCTCTTGAAACATTTAGGAAAATGGTTAAAACTTTTTATTGTGCTGGGCGTTTGTGGTCTTAATCTCACTTTCTCCCCCTGCTGCTTAAATTGCTTTCAATGACTTTTTAATACTCACTGTTTTTTATTGTTATAATTTATTGTCAGTGAAAATTCGATTTTTTTTAGATTAACTGTTATAGGGAACTTTTTGAGGGTTGAAAGGTGGAGTTGAAATCATCTTATTTATAAATAAACACTTTCCCCCCGCAGAGAATATCCTGAGCATTTAATTTGCAAGAAAAACTTTGACAACCTTCCTGTAGAACAGTTGGAGGGGACAGATGAGGATGACCTCAGAAG